TGAGATAATACCGCATATTGTATTTACAACATAGTTAATAGAAGGTGCACGACCTTCCAAAACATCGTTAAACAAAGGAGATCTATCAAGAACATTAATATCATTACGACTATTTGGTGTCCCAAAAAAAGCATGCCAGATCCAAAGATCATATGATGCCACAAATTCCAAGATTAATGTGGGTTTACATGGTCTTCCAGAAAACATACCTTTTAATCAAAATGGACAATTTTTCCACTGCAAATGCATGTAATCAATAGAACCTAACATACCTGGAAATCCTCGACGTTCACCTATTCTTAGTAGTCTTACCAGATCTTCTTCATTGGGCTTTCTAAGGTAATCATCACTAAAGTAAGAGACAATACTTTCCACAAAATGTTGTAGTGAATCTCTTGCAAGAGATGCACTAACTCGAATATAGTCATCCACAAAATCAGTAGAGGTGCCATAAGCTATTAGCCTCATAGCAGTTGTGCATTTTTGCAATCCGGAGGCACAAAATCTTCCTGTAGCATCTTGTCTTTGCTGAAAGAAGGGATGACGTTCTTCTAAAGTTTGCTTTATTCAGAGAAAGATATGTTTGTTCATGCGAAATTTTCGACGAAATAATTGTGGAAGGAACACAGGATGATCAGCAAAGTAGTCATTCCATAAACGATTGTGTCCATCCTCACGATCCCTTGGAACGGGGATCCTTGGTGCCCTTAGAACTTGATTTAACATTTGATATACTTCAATTGGATTGGACATAAAAACTTCATCCATCTTTCATATCGTTGTGTTTGGCTATTTTCTGAATTGGAAGAGGAATTAGAAGAGTTGGAGCTTTCGTCGGATGACATGTTATTAACACCAAGTTGATATGAGAATGGAAGGTAGAAACTTTTTTAGGGGAAAAAATGAATGTTTGATCGAGTGAAATGCATCTCATCCATCTTATAGAACAAATGTGTATGGTATATAGTCATCTGTATTGTCTTATATGATAAATTTGAAGTCTTGCATGCATGCATTGATTCAGAAAGTAGTTAATAGTTTTTCACTAATGTAGATGCATGCATTTGTATTGTCACTATCACCTTAGCATTGTTATATACGTAAAAGAAAAGTAATGTTACTATTTCCTTTTTAATGTTAAGTACATCAGTGTATAGTATTTTCACTATTATCTTTTCAGTGTTAAGTACATCAGTGTCTAGTATCTAATATTTTCTTTTCAGTGTTGGGTACATCAATTCTTTTTCAGTGTAATGTAAATTAATGTACATCTTTTGCAGTGATATATCAAAGTGAACTGATGGGTTTAGTCAGATCAATAATAATTATATGTTAATACATATAAAGCGTATAATACGATTTTAAGACAGGACATGTAATTAACTTATTTTTTTTTTATTAATAATGACATTATAATATAACTTCTTTCATATCCTAAATCAACAACACATTAAAAATTGCCAAAATAAAAATCGGACCTTAGTACTTAAAACAGAAAATTAAAAAAGAAATTATTTGAAATCAAGCAACATTAAAACTATAATCAACCATACACTAATACATCAGTCTGAAGGGAACAACTTCTTCAACAAATTGCTCCTTAGTTCTTGATCTTCCAAAGATAAGTTTGGCTTTGAATTGAGGTGTTTAAATAACTCCATATTAATTTTTCTTTGCTTCCTTGCTTCTTTCTCCTTTTCTAGTTGCAACCTTGTAAGTTCCACTTGATTTTCAGATTTCCTTCTAAGGTTCATGTTCTGGGCAGTTTCCAACCACTGCTACCATGCTCCAAGTGACATGTTTGCCATCTTGCTCTTTCCTTTTTTTGCTAGATTCGTTGCTAGAAGGGAAGCCAGAGGCACCAATATCACCACTGGTTGGTGATTCTGAGTTTGATGAAGATGAGTAGTTGCCATCTTCATTGACACGTGATCTCTTTGAGTCACTTCCTTGACTGGATGTCTTTTGCTTGCATTTTTGAACAATATCTTCACTTGGTTTCCACGCATCATGTTGTACCAGGATGTCCCAAACATGCTTGTCTTGAAAGGTTTTAGACATCAATGATGTCTTTGTTTTGTCGGCAACATGTATACTATATGTTGCGTTCATAACATCTTCATCATTCTGACCACTTCCCCTTCTTGATTCAGCGTGAGCATGTGAACCACAAAATTTAGAACATGAAGCATTGATCCTTCTCCAACGGTTTTTAAGTTGCTCCGAACCCCTCATTTTCAACAAATTTTCTTGTGTTACCCCGTCAGTACCTTCTTCGAAACACCTTTGTTTGTATAGTCTAACATTATTATACATTTCCTCAATTTTCCTCCAAAAAACATCCCCCTTTTGGTTAGTGTTAGTTCTTTTTTTATTTTAACTAACCTCAAGTCAAGCCTTCACAAGAACCACTTCTTCAACTTTTGACCAAAACTTTGTTTTTCCATCTGGATTGCCTCCTTTATGACCTCTTTCAATGCCTTCGACTTCTCCAACTTCTGGTTCATTGTCGTCATCTGATGCGTTCGATTTGTATGAGCAATCGAAACTCAGAAATGCACCATCACCTTGTAACATAGGAAAATGTTGGGACATGGGAAATGCCGAATCACCTTGAGAGATTTAAATATTCTCAAAAGATGGGATAACATTTTGAGAATATGAATAATTAGGATTTTGTGGTGGTTGAAAAGGAAAAGAGTGAAAATACTTGGATTTGAGAAATTGAGATTTTGTGAACCATAATTAAAAATTGTTGAAAATTTGTATCTAAATCTGAGTTGAGATCAATTGGAAGGTTAGAATAGTAAGGTTGAAGATTTGGATTATTTTGGGGTTGTAATGAGTTTTGAGATTTTGTGGGTTTTTTTTTCCTATTGGATTTTGGAATATTCATCTCTACACAATTTGATTTACAAGAGAGTAATATTCACTTTCATAAAAATTGTTTCAAAATACCTCAATATTGGGCTCATTTTATAAAGGAAAAAATAATAGAGCTGTTGGTATTTTTTTTTTAGAATTATATTTTAAAAATTACGGCCGTTATAAAAATTACAACGATTATAAATTTAGAATAAATCTTAGTCAATGATCAAATAAATGGGTGTCACAATTTCCTTGTGCCACGTCATCATGGGTAGACATGAAAACCATGAAGTTGCAATATTTTATTCCATGACCACATGCAAATAACCGATTATTCCTATAACTTGGTTATTGCAAATTTTCCCCAAAATTTCTCTCCATTTTTTTTTATTTTATTATTTTTACACTTTCTCTCTCCCATTAACCAACCCCAAAGGTTAACGACTGTGCATGCTCTCATATACTATTTTATTCTTTTACCTAAAATTATGTGTCAAAGGTTATGGGACACTTAAAAAAAAAGAGGAGTATTTTTTTTATACATATCATGTCGCATGACTTTTTATTATAAATCAATTTTTAATAAAATAAAAATAAAAAGAAGTTTAGTTCATCTCAGAAGAATAGAGCATAAGTGAAATAAGTCTAATGTGAACCTTATATTTGGGGATTTGTTAAACATCGCCCGCAAATCTCCACATAAAGCCCACAAATTAGACATGATTTGACAATTTTGCCCATTTCTAAAATCGTACCGAAAGTGAACAAATCTCGATCTAACAAATGTGGAGTCGTACTTGGTTGCCCGAGAAAGTGGAGGAGAGGCCAGAGAGGCGAGGGACGCCGGAGATACGTCGTCTTCGACGGAAAACAAGGTGGCGCCTAGTTTGGACGCCGGAACCATGGCAAGGACGTCCAGGCAAGGCGCCACAACCAGTGCACTGGCGTCCAAGCCAGACGCCACAACCAGTGCACTGGCGTCCAGCCCAGGCGCCTCAACCAGTGCACAGGCGTCCAGGCTAGGCGCCACCACCAGTGCACTGGCGTTTCTGCCAGACGCCGCCGTTACCGTTTAATTTTTTTTTTTTTGCCTTTTTTTATTTTTTTTTATTTTTTTTTTTAAAAAAAAAATTGAAAATCCGGAATTCTATTAAAAACAGTTTTTTTTTAAAAAATTATGTTTAATAAATTTATGTTTTGATATAGGATGTGGAAATTTATGTTTTTTATTTGATTTTATAAAAAATATATATACTAGACTTATAAAAAATAACACATAAAATTAATAAATATTAAAAAAAATCAAACACATTAAAAAAAAATTAGACATAAAACAAAATTATTTAAAAGTAACACAAATTTTCTGATTTTCCAAAAAAAAAAAAAAAATTAAAAAAAAAAAATCGAGCGAAGGTGGGGCGCCTGGCAAGGACGCCCACCCACTGGCGGTGGCGCCAGATCCGGCAGCCATAGCCAGTGGGCAGGCGCCTGGTTTGGACGCCTCTACCGTTGGCTGGGCTTCCAAGCCACACGCCACGCCACCGACACTGGCTGCCGGAGCTAGCGCCACCGCCAGTGGGTGGGCGTCCTGGCCAGGCGCCCCACCTTCGCCGCTTATTATTATTTTTTTTAAATAATTTAAATAATTACCTTGCCACCAAGTCGCCGCCTTTCCTCCGCTGTCACCGCCGCCACCTCTTTCCCTTGCCGCTTTTAGAAAGATGTAGTGAGTGGTTTTTTTTTAAAAACAAAAAGGGCAATAAGGTCACTTCAATACAAATTTGTGGGTTTTATGTGGAGATTTGCGGGCGATGTTTAGCGATTCACTATATTTGACCGGGGAAGTAGTAATGCATGAATGTTATGTATTTGTAAATACATAACAATGATTAAAATATTCTACAAACACATGGTAGAGAGAGAAAAAAAGAGAGAGATAGGAAGAGAGAGGTCTGTAGGTGGACCCTAGTTATTTTTTGATCAGATTGTCTCACGTGATGGGGGACCACATGTTGATTGTTCCACTGAAAGCTTATAAATACCATTGAATTTTCAGTGATACTGTTTATGCATAAATATAGTACAACTGAATGCATATATAATACCACTATATGCAAATATAGTATCACCGTATGTTTAGTGATATTATTTGATCAATCAATGATACCAAAATATACATTCGTTTGTACATACGTGCTATTACATAAACGCTCTTTATTATGCATTTCTACATGCATAACAGTGCTCCCTTTAAAATCTCTGTCTTTCACCATTTAGTTACTCTCCATCTCCTGTCAAAAAAAAAAAAAAAAAAAAAAAAAGTTACTCTCATGTGTGACCTTGACCCACGTGTGACCTTTCCCTCCTCCCTCCTGCTTGTGTGGCGTCCATCATCCTCCGTATCCAGCCATTTTAGATTCCATTTTCTCCATATTTTTAATATCTTCCTTCTAAAACTTCATCTGTAAATTCCTTTCTTCTTAACTTTATTTCTCCATTCTCCAATGGCGGAAACTTCTGCACTGTATTTATCTGGATCTTCATTTCTAACCATTTCTCGAAGCTTCCGTCAATTCTCTCCTTCCTCCTCTACTAACATTCATCATCAACCTTTCTCCTTCTTCATTCCACCTCTTATTTCATCTCGATTTTTCCGATTGACAGCCAAAGCTTCTTCTGATAATCCTTTTGACTTTGACTATGGATCGTATCCGTGGGACCCTCAATCGATTGATTCCGATTCTGGTAAATCAGTTATTTACTGTTCATTTGCCTCATTTTGAGAAATTTATTTAAGTAATAATTATATGATTGAATTTATTTCTGCTTTGGGTTATTCGAATTCAGGGAATTTAATGGTATTTCTTTGATTCTACAACTTTGTTTGAATTCTGAATATAAGTTAGAAATTTGTTACCTCTAGTAGATTTTTGAATATGGGTACTTTGAATTAATGATATTTGGGTTTTTGTAATATCAGGGACTAAGATTTATTGCTAGTATTTTGCTAGTGTGTTAAGTTACTTTAGTGTTTAAACTTTTTTAGGAAAAACTTTAGTGTTTAAAGTAGTTGGCAGAAGTTATGTACTTTAAAGTTTTGCGTGTACAATGCTAAGCGTAGGTTCAATGTAAGGAGGTAATTGGGTTTGGCAATGTATTGCCACGTTCATTTTCGGCTTTCTAGGCTTGTTTAGCTCGATCCTGCTTCCGTGAAAGTTTGATCTTTCTATTGATTTCAAGTACTTGTTTAAGCTTGAAGCTCGCTTGTCTATGCATTGAGGTGGTCTTATGATTTCATGAATGAGTTTTTTTTTTTGGTTTAATTTTGTGGCTGGCTTAATCACTTGAACTCATTAGATAACTTTATACCTTAAAAACCTGCCTTACTTGATGAATTAGCCTAAGATTAATAATATGTAGTACGGACTGCGGAGTACAAGTATTTGGACTAGATTAGTACCTAAACACTGGGATTTCAAAAAGGGGAACCTAAAGTCCTTGATATTTTATGCTACCTAGTTTCCTAATGATGCATCAGATATGTCCAAAAAGGGTACAAGGGCATGGATTAAATTATTATGGCCTCTTAAAGCTGATTGCTGTTGGGTTTTAGTTTGCTACAAAATATATTTAGAGGAATTAACTTGGATCATTTAAAAGTTTTGGCAGCTTTAAGTGGTTTTTTGGACGAACTTAGTCAAACTTAAATGAGATTGTGAAGTCAAATACTCCGTAAATGATCACTGGGTTGATTAAGATAATTTTATTGATATAGGCTTTGTTCTCGATCTTCACTTTATTTTTGCTGAAGTGAAATCTAAACTGAAATTATTTTTGCTTTGAAGTTAAATTAATTTAGGGGATATTCTCAATGGTAACCCCCTATTATTGCTACGCACCAATGGTAACCCTCTTTTTTTTTTGGATTATACAAAATGACACTACTTTTCTTTTTTCTCCTAAAGATGACATTAATGATGGTGTTTTAACATAAAATAGTCAATTAAAATTAACTATGGTTAGTTATTTTTTTTTAAAGAAAAAAAGAAAAACATTTAGAAAAATTAACTACCACAACCATCAATCCACACCACCATCTCCACCGGCCAACCACCGCCATATCCCTTCCCCTTTACTGCCGGCGACCCCAACTACCCGACCACCTAGACTCTAGACCGCCGAACACAGACGACCCATTCACTGTGTTCATAGTCGACCCACCTGCAATAATCTCACTTCACTCGCTGAAACCTAATCGGAAAAGGGTGGGATTCGTCGACGAGGCAGGGGAGGGGCTAGGTGGGGGTTAAATTGATGTTAGCAGCTGCCATTGTGGTCGAAATTATGGTGACTGAATTGTTGATTGCAAAGGGAGATTAGGGTGAAGACGGTGGTAATTGGTAAAATTCGAATTGGTGACGGTTTTAAGGTGAGCTGGGAAGTGGCCAGCGTTGATTGGTGGCGAATTGACGACTGTAGGTGGCGAATTGGTGGAGCAATTGGTGATGTGTGGGTTGCCGGAGGTTGGGCGGCTGTAGGTTGTTGCGTTGTGGTGTGATGTGGCTCGGTGGTTGGGTGCGAGGAGTTGATAGATGTAAGGGGGCTGATGAGGTGCGCAGGCTAGGCGTTTTAAAAGGTGCGGCAGCGGGAGATGGGAGGCGGGGAGGTGGCAGGGGTTGGGGCTGGGTGGGGGACTGGGGTTCACGTGTAGAATCGTCGCCGGAATAAGTGGGGTCATCGGATGTGGTTGGGGTGGTGGGGGTTCACGGGTAGGGTTGCCGAAATGGATGTATTGGGTGGGTTCACCAGCTAGGGTGGGGGCTAGTGGGTTTCGGCGGCAGGGGTTGGCTGGAGGTGGAAGGTTAGTGTGAGGTGGTGGATGTTGGGCTGTGGGGTTGGGGGGCTGGCAGAGTAGATTTTTTTATTTTTTATAAATAAAATCTGGTAAATAAAAGGGGGCATTTTTGTCATTTGCTATTGTGGTTAACCATGGTTTAATTTTATGTTAAAACACCATCATTAATGTCATCATTAGGAGAAAAAAGATAACTAAGGTCATTTCGTATAATCCCAAAAAAGGGAGGTTACCGTTGGTGCGTAGCAATTGTAGGGGGTTACCATTGAGAATATCCCTTAATTTTATTGAACTGAAATTATTTTTACAGATTCTCTATTATTAATTCTTCTTTACAGTTACTAATTTGAATTTATTTTTTTCCTGAATCGAACTTATTTTTATTGAACTGAAATTATTTTTACTAAATATCATTTTTTAAGGTGAAAAGAATAGGGCCTAAACGAGCTATAAAAGCCGTATAAGTTGGGTTAATTTGTTGGAAAGTTGAACTTGAATGATCGTTGGATGAAATTAAGGTATATTGGTAAGCAAAACATTTTTGTTTGGATTTTGGTGCTAAGGCATAAAAATATACAGTTAGGGGCCTTGTAAATTCTTTGGTAATGGAATCACAAGGATTATAAAGGAAGGGAAAATAAGAGGAATAAAATAATTATATCTTCTAGTGTTTGGTGCTATTATATTACTTCCTTTCCCTACCTATAAATCCTATGTAATTCTTACAGCTAAACATTAGAAATCCATGTAACTCCTTTTCATATTTTTACATCTAAATCCTCTATACCAAACATGGTTAGTGCCTAGCTATTTAAATTGAACTTTCCTTAGCTTAGCATATTCACAGCAAGCTGGACTAATATACAATTCGATCATGACATATCAAGTCTTGAAGTGTGACATATCATGACATATTCACTCACACATTATGTCCTCACCTCTTTTATACTTGCCCTACTTTTCATAAAATATGAATTACGGAATAATATTGTGGAATGACTAGCACTTTGTTTGAATAGAAAGAAATGGAAGGAAAAGAAGAGGAGAAGGGAAGAGAAAGGGAGGAGGACAATTTCTCTTGTTTAGGTAAAGGATTGAAGGAGGGATCATTTCCCTCTCTCTTTAATAAGCATAATCCCTCCAAAGTTGGAGGATTTGGAGGTAAAATGAAGCTCATCTTTCCCCTCCCTTTCCTCTTCTTTTCCTCCCCTTCATTTCTTTCCTTCTTTGTTATCCAAACTAAGCGTAAAGTTACAATGATTGTAAGTGCGCAAGCCATGACAATCGATGGTTTTTCCACTTTGGATTATAGATGTATGTTTAAGTTTTCCATTTTTCTACTTCCTTTGTTTCTCAATACATGCAACAAGTTTACTTTTAATGAGCGTATAATAAAGTCAACTTGTTGCATGTATTACCCGTAAAAAAAAAGAAAAAAAAAAAAACATTGTTGCATGTATTAAGAAACAAAGAAAGGATTACGCTGTAAAACTTTTGTAGATGGACTTTAGCTAAGTTAGAAGATATCAATCTACTAACATTGTTAAAGTCCATCTCATGATAGGAAATGAGGTGCTTTCTTCTTTACTAAAGGTTTAGATTAGCAATTAGCTACCATGGAGAAATCTAGAGTGTCATAGCGCAAAACAAAATGGTGCATCATGTATAAATATACAGCTCTCTTTTTTATTTACTCCCTCTGTTTTTTTTATATGCATCTAATATATAATTGTAAGTGGGTGAATAATTTATTATACGTAGTAGTAAAAGTAAGATGGGGATCATGAAAGAGAAAATATGTGAGAGACAGTAGATGCTTTTATTATTTAAGTAGGGACCATGAAGAGAGAGAAATGATAAAATAATTTAAGTGGTGTTTAAAGTAAGAGAGAAAAATGATAAAATATAGTATAAAATTACCAAATATAGAAGTGATGCATTTAAAATAAAATCCATAAAAGGGAAATGATGCATTTAAAAAAAACGGAGGGAATATTTTAAGTGCCTTAGTTCGATCAAACATGTATACCAATGTGAAACTTTGACCAATAATTTCTTTAACTATCAAAAAGTATCATTTCAAAAAAAAAATTGCACTATAAGTCCATAAAACCATATATTTCTTTCGTTCCAAATTAGATGACACGTTTTGTTTATCACGTTTGGCAATACAAAAAATTCAATTGAAAATATCTTTAATTATACTATTATTAAAAAAAAAAAAAAACTAAAAATTGAATTGTAATTATGTACACATTAAAAAACTATAACAAGATCCTACATGACTATGTTTTTTCATATCTATAAATCACAAACGCTAGTCAAAGTAAAGTTTATGAATAGTGTAAAAGGTCAAAACGTATCATCTAATTTGGAACAGAGGAGGTATAATTTTATGGATTTATAGAGCAATTTTGTGTGGAAAGTCTCATGTCAATTTCGTGGTTGATAAGCATTAACATGGACATGGACATTGACATGAGACTTTCTTTACAAATTGCACTATAAATCCATAAAATTACCTTTGTTTATTACTCTCTACCAAATAGGGGATGAGAGAGAGAGTGAGAGAGAGAGAGAGAGCTGCTTCTTGCGCTTCTTGCGAGCTTCTCGTTTCCTTCTTTTTCTTTAGATTACAAAGTTGGCTCGTCATGCATGTTTCTGCTCCATACATGTTCTTTCTTTTATGATACCTATCCTTTAGAGGGCAAGAGGTAGTTCTTGACTAAATTGTGAAAAATAACAATTGAAATAAAGTTAAAATTGATCAAAGTAGTCTAGTTTCATTTTAGGATAATATGACAATTTTTCCGAACCATTAGTGGCCTTTCAAAAACTAATCCTACATCTTGATTAACTCAAACAGCACTAACAAGTGTGTCATCATTCTGGAAATAGACCAATCTTACTAGTTAGTGGTTACCTTTTTTACCTATTATCAAACACTCGTTCTCTCACCAATGCTCACTCTAAAAGTCTAAACCCATCCTCATTAGATCACCTCTTCTGCATGGCTCCATTAAAAATTAATTTTGCTCCTCCTTTTTGTCTCCCCTCCCAATGTCCACAAAAGGCCTATGTTTTGGTCTCAGCCAGATAGACTCTTTTGTTTGTGTCAATTTCTTAAATTATGGTGGATGGTTTTGGAGAATCATGAATCTTGATGTCAGTTTTCTGTCAACAGTTTGCAGCGGTGTTACACGATTATGGATCTGATGAAGATGATTGGTTTATAGTTTTATAAGATTGTGGGATGATAAAAACAGTTCGGGTTGCTGGAATGGTGACAGCATTATTGTAAGTGGCAAGGGAGGGTTTGAAAAAAAAAAAGAGGAGGGAGAGGGAAAGAATGCCTTAAAGATTACATTTAAGTAATAAATAAATGAATAAAATCAAAGTGAATGGGTTGGCATGTTTTGCTAGAAATGGAGAAGGGATGTAATGGGAGTGGGAAGGGATTGGGGATGGGGAGGGGTTGTGCTTTGACTGGTTTAACAGGCTGTTAAAAACAGGGCTTGATTTGAGAAGGTTGACCAGATAGTTGGAATTATAAAGTTTATCAATAGCTGTGATTAGTTTGAAAGTTATAATTGGGATTGCTCATTTTTTAGCTACATTTCAGAGACAGCTATGTTAATATAAGTGCATCTACTGAAAGTGTAAATGTTTATTCTTCATTTTGATCTTCTTTGTCAAGTAAATTGTTGTTCTCTTACAGGACTAAGCAGGAAAAACGTTGTTCACATATAGCTTATTTATTTATTTATATTTTTTATATTTTAGTTTTTAATCTCAGAAGAGGAGCCCTTAAAAGGGAGCTCGTGTTTGAAATAATAGTTGTTAAATAGGATGAGTTTTGGAGGTTTATGACTTTATGATGTAACTGTTGATCTTCTTTCATTCTATATATGAACTGATTCTCATATGGTTCGGAGCAATTATCCTTATTTACTGGGGGTTTGGTGATATTAAAGACTGGGAATAATGCTTTGAGTGTCATTTGTGCAGAAAGTTTTTATCTCATAATCATCTGCAAATTGTATGGATTAGCCTTTTTTTCTGATACAAAGTAGTTTCCTTCTGCTTTGCATATTTGCTTTAATGGCATTGTGTAATGTTACTGGCCTTGAGCAGTCTGATTAACATCCTTTTAACCATGTTTCCAATTTAAGATATTGTACTTTCTGTTCAAATAATAACTCAAGAGAATACTGTCTTTGTATAATAAGTACTATGGTATTTTAGTCTAATGCCCTCTTTGCCAGAAATATATCAGAAAATTGCCTTTTTTGCCAGAAATATATCAGATATAAGCACTTCTGAAACTTACCAAACTTCAAAACTGACTTCTGTTGAAATTTGAGTTAATGTATAGGTATTCAGTGGGTTCGTGAGGACACAATCACAATGCTCACTGCAGATGGGCTCATACAACTTGGAGGTTCTTTGGTACCCCGGCGTATTTCTCCATCAGAGGTATGCCTTGCTTTGGGAAAGACTTGCTTGATTTCCTATTTTCATTTAAAATGATGTATTTAACCAAAGACTTAGGTAGCAAGAGGATCATTTTAGTATGAGTTTGATACAGAGTAAGCAAGAAGTTGACTTGTGGTTGGGTTGGAATAGATTTTATTATGTCGGGCTTTATGCTTAAGCTTACAAACCTTATTTTAATGACTGTTTATCATTATGATTGATGATTTTTAAGCCTGAAGCTTTCATGAATGAAGGAAGTCTTGTTAATTAATTACAACGATAATTGGAATTGATCAATAATTAGTCGTAGCTGGTCTATTTATTACAAAGTATATCCTTTTGTATCACATGATCCGATTATGATAAAATTTATTGTTACTTTTAGGATGAGATGTGACTTTAAAATTTTAATTGATAATTTACAACAATATTTTGTAATTCTTATGAATGATACATTATATACTTACTATTAAGAAATAAGAAATGTAAAGTTGCTTCTATCACAAAAGACCAGAGATGTAAGGATGCAAAATGAAAATGAAGTATCCACTATTAAAGCAATAACATACTCTCTTTGTTTCACTATGAATGTCATGTACGATTGTGCTCCTTAAATCTTTATGTTTTTTTATGTAGTATTCCACTTTTACATATTTTCATTCTTTTCTAGATTTTTAATATGCATGAATAGTAGGAGATTCTTTGAAGCTTTTAGAAAATATTATCGGTTAAACACACAACTAATGATACTGTATGAAAAGCTAAAGGGAAATTCTACATGATGGCCTCCAGGCTTCAAGTTTTTATGTAGTGACAAGGCTAAAAAAAACATTCTACAAAGTAATTCCAAACTTTAACAAATTCTATCTAATTTATTTCATTAATTAGTGGCTAACCCATAACTGGTGGCTAACCAATGTTGACTTAAAGTTAGAATTTTTTTTTAATAATCAAATAATTTTATAAATAAAATAAAAAAAAAAAACACCTTTCCCCACAAGCCAGCCACCCCTCCCCTACCATTAACCTTTCACTGTTTCATCCCAAAAAATGGTTGAAACTTCCTCTTACCACAAGAGAAGGAAATTATAACCAAGGAATGACAATTCAAACACAATGGTGTAGAAAGATTAAGCTCACTTCTAGACACCCCTTTTGATCGAAATTCTCTCTCTTCTCCCTTTCAAATCCGCCACCGCAACCTCTTTCTTATCCCAGCGGTGGCGCCACCTCTGGACTCAACTCCTCTACCTCTCCTTCGACGGAGATAACCCACCATGGAATCATGGATGCCTTCCAATGTCGATCCCTCAAGTCGCAGCGAAGATTCATGTGATTCAAAGACATAGTACATGGGTTGGTGGGGAGGGGAAGGCTAATGGCAAGGGAGGGGAAGAGGGTGCGTGGCTGGGTTGGTGGGGAGAGTTAACTTTTTTTTTTTTTAATAAAATTATTTAAATATTAAAAAAAAAAAAAATCCTTACTATAAGTCAACATTGGTTAGCCATCAATTTGGGTTAGCCACTAATTAATGAAAAAGGGTCATTATATAGAATTTGTTAAAGTTGGGAATCGCTTTGTAAAATGTTCTTTTAGCCCTGCCACCACATAGAAAACTTGAAATTTGGAGGTCAACGTGTAGAATTTCCCAAAGCTAAATTATACTAAAACTAAAACTTGATGATGAGTTAACTTTATTATACCGAGCATATGCAATATATAGGTAAAATCTTAGCTAACGATGTTGGTTAAAGTTATGAGGACCAAAATACAATTTTTATGCATTATCAATTTTCATAAAGGGTCTTAATTAAGTGTCCCCAATTTAATTTGCCGAGTATGCCAAATTGCCAATGCAGAAGTTTGACCTATAATATTTTTAATTATCAATAAGTATGAATCATAAAAAGTTGATATTTGAAAACTATATATTGAAACGTATAAGTCACCAAAATTGGTCAAAGTGGAATATGTGAACAGTGTAAAAAGTCGTGCATAAAGTCGTGCATGGAGGGAGTACTAGTGAGTTGTGAAGGTGGCACTTGGTGGCATGCATGTATGATGGCTCAATTTGCTGCTTTCATTGCAGGGGTTGCCCCAAGGGCTTGACCTCCTTCTCATCCAAAAGAGCCCCACGCTAGCTAGATTTGTGAGAGGGCCTCGTAGTCAGACATACTAAAATCTATGCCTTACTAACCAACCTTAAGGCAGTCTTCTAAATCAATACAGATTTGGTATCATCATGACTTGTATCTGTGGCCATTGTTGCTATTGAAATTTGCTATTTGTGGCATTCACCAAGATTACCATTTATTGATGTCTTCTCTCACTTCAGTGTCATACTTTCTCCGTTCTAGTAATATTGCAACAACTGGACTTTTGACTTTTGCATTATTCATCATGCTTGTTTGACCACAAATTATGATTTATACGTAAATTCATATATAATCATGTGGGGTCTTATTAGATTCGTCTTGTAAAATACTTTCACAATATCAACTTTTTATAATTTTTACTCTTATATAATTATAAATATTAACATACAAAATGTGCCTTGGAATGCGTAATTTCATTGTTATTGCGATATTTGTGGAACAGAGGAAGTATATTATTAGTTATTACCTGCTAAGCTGCTATGGTGAAAGTTATATATATGGGATTAAGGCTTTGAATGATTGACTTGGTAAGCTGCTAAAATTGCGGTTTCATAATGTAGAAGCAGGGTAAGGTGAAAGTTCCTTCGAGGTATCAGCGCTTTCAGGAGAGTGATTACATGGATCCAAACCAAAGCCTTTGTCTGGGTGCACTTTTTGATATTGCAGCAACAAATGTGAGGACTGTAGATAGCTACAATTAGCTGTTGAACTGTGACCTGCTGTTAATTTTTCAATGCGATTATGTTGTACTTGAATGATGCTTTTGTAATTAAATTTGTCAGGGGCTTGATATGGGTAGAAGGCTTTGCATCGTTGGCTTTTGTCGTTCAATTGAGATGCTTAGTGATGTTGTTGAGGACAGTGTCCTGGAGCAAGGTGGAGAGGTATGTAACAGTAGAACCTGTTCTATTAATTTTTAATTTAGCTGCTCAGAATTCAAAGTTTCATGCTGTAAAATTTTGATGCACACGTTAAATCTTTGAGCAGCTTCTAATGGCATGATTACGTGATTGTTTAAGATGTTTACAAATAATTCCACACCAAAAGAACCAAAAAATTAAAGGGATACACTCACAAAGAAGTTCTTACACATAACAAATTCTAACCTTTAAGCTAAAGTATGTCTTGTTTGCATTTACCTTAATCACTTTGAACCCGTTATCTATTGAAAAGCTCTTTTCTTAGACAGAAACAAGCATTGTAAAATTGGTCTTTTAGATATAGATCTTCTGAGCTACAAATTACTTGCTCCAATTTTCCCAGGACTTAATAGATGCAATGCTTCGCCTTTTGCACTATTCTTATATTTTACTTAGACAATCATTAGTGATTTATATTTAAGAAAAAGCAGTCCTATGGGATTTATATATTCAATATATCAACTTATTACTTCCCTTCATTTTGGATTAATTGCAATTGTAGGCATCTTACAAAGTCTTAGGAAAATTATAGGGTGGAGACACTTATATATATAGTTTGGGTAAATTTAATTGTTGATAGGAGAGAAATAATAATAATAAAAAAAAAAGTGGGGTTGTTGGCGGAGAGAATTTGAAAAATACCAAGTATTAGTGCATCTAGTATTAGTAGGAAAGAGAAATAATAAAAGTAGTGGGATCTTACAATATAAAGATGTATTGCAGTTAATCAAAAACGGATGAAAATGAAAAGTGTTATGTTTAATACGAAATAGAGGGAGTATTATTTTTTCATTGATAATTAAAAAAATAACAATTTAATTCATGCATCAAAAACTTGAGTATAGAACTGTTGTTGTAAGGGAATACGTGATTGTGCTAGTTTTATGCGATTAGCGATAATTAACAATAACGAAGAAGGAAAACAAGTAAACAACAAAACAAGGAGAATTTACCGCAGTAAACCCGAAAACCGGGAGAAGAACCCACCAATGCACTGTAGAGTAATCTTTGGTGAAGAATAATGTAGTTTATAAGATATATATCTAAGTACCACGAAAGCTCCCATCCCAAATACATCCTTTCCCACACTCAAACCCTAAGTGTTAGGGGTTTTACATTTGAGGTACTCTCTCTCTACATCTTTCTCCATCATCACTCTAATACAATGACTAAACATGAGTATATATATTGCAAGGCATCATTAAACAATCCTATGGTCATTGATAAGCCACGCCACTTAAATCGCAAAACCGTAGAAAACAGGGGCAGGTTCGCCGGCGAACCCACCCTTGGTTTGGAAGAACCTGGCTTGATTCGGGCAAACCAGTAAGCAGGTTTGGCCGAATCTTTTTCCAGTGACTTCCGAGTCATTTTCCCTTTGAGCTCGGGCAAACCATCACCAGGTTTGGACGAACTTTCTAGCAGGGAGATAGCTCTTCGTAAAATGGTCATAACTTTCTCGTTTCTTGTTCAAATCAAGCTTTTGACCAGTCATTGGTAAGATCTTGAGACAAGCTGTCACCTCGAATTTGAATCATTTCAAAATCATTTCTAGATTTTGAGATATGCTCATTTCAAGTCAGCCCTTTGCCATCCATCGTTGCTTAGCACCAAGCAATCAATACATAGCTTAACTCCAAAGCTATGCATCCTTATGCCTTGAACCGTTCTCCACACCTTCCAAACCTAATAGTTGAAACTAAATAAAAGCAGAGGAAGTATGTAGCATCCTCACTGGAAAATTTAGTTGCAGAATTTGCAAATTACTTCCATGTACATGGCTGTCAATATCACTTTGTGTCTTTGTATAAAAATGTCAAAAATGACATTTTGTTTTCTTGTTGGATATATTGTGATGCTATTTATAAAATTTTCTTAATATGATGTATGATAGTACCCCTGCGAGACATGGTTTCAAGTTTGTAATCCTGCTAAGAATGATAATATGTATACGATGCATACTGCACTTTTAAAGTTTATATATGTGATGAAGAGAACTGGACGGTGTAGGTTGTTGTCGCTGAGAAAGCAACAAAGGGTGGATTACAGGAGAAGCTGAGTATGACTGTTGCGGTGCCACTACTTTGGGGTGTTCCTCCTGCTTCCGATACACTCCATCTTGCTGTCAGAAGTGGTGGAGGGATAGTGCAGAAGGTATTTTGGCAGTGGCACTACATGTAAATAAACTGCTGACTTAGTTTGTCTGACGCATCTATTCATCTATTGTGAATTCTGTACATAAGCTTAGAATCTATATATATCTGAAACTGTACATTTGTGTAATCTTTAAAATCTAACATTTGACGGTTGTATAATCATTATTCCTCATTAATTGACATGAATTTCTGGTAAGATTCACAGATTGTTTACTATAAAATTTGCCTTTCATAAGCTCTTAATATGAGAAGTTTTCTGCGTTGCAAACCTAACAACGCTTAGACATTCGCCAACTGACACTCTCTCCTATCCCCCGACTTTGAAATTTTCATTTCATTAGTCTGTTTGCAGTTATTGAGAGGGTTGTCAGCATCAAAATGTCCAGAATGAGTTTATTGTCTAATCAGCATCAAAATATCCCCTAATCAGGCGCTTTTTGTGTTCTTGTAAAGCTGGGTGTTCAATGTTCTGTTTTAGATCTCAGTTACAAGCTGAGCCATTCTCTCTCAGACTCTCCGATGTTAGTCTGTTTTAGAATGGTTTCTTATGTGTCTCGACCTGTTTATCTTGTGCTATGGTATACTTCTTGGCTCTTGCGTAACTTTTTAGTTGATATATTTTGACTTTTGATACTATTCAGACTTCAAAATATGCACAAACTCTTTTGTGATTTATAATTAAGATAAAATATAGTTATGTAAGGTTTGATTAGAATTGTTTCAAGCCATAATATTATGTATGATCTTTTTTTATAATTATTAGTCGTTGATAAATAAAGATTTTAATCGTAAAAGTTGTGTATTGACTAACATGGTAAAATAAATGTATCAACTAGAAAAGAATTAAGGAATTATGAGACTATAGTCGTTGAAATTGGTTTGGATCCCATTGAACCCTTTTGTTTTTCCATTGATGTAATTGTAATTAAAATGAAATTCCATGACTAGGTATCCCTGCTATGTATCCTCTCTTTTTTCTCATCTCTTTTTTCCATGACAAGGTCATAGTTTTCTTGGGGCTTCCACCAACAACAAATCAATGGTAATCCCTTTAATTTAAAATCTTAGGGTTACCTATCTTTTTTTTTTTTTTATTTTTTTTATTTTTTATTTTTTATTGCTAGTGTTCTCTACAATATGATGGGTCATTAAGAGGTAATTCAGGTGACTAAGTCAGGTTCGTTTGAGTCGGTTATATTAAGAACTAGATGAAGCCCTGTTTGTATATTTTAAATTAAAATATTTTTTGTATTTATGTGATAAAATTTATTATTTTATTTCTTGTATGTAGTATATCAATTAATAAGGTCTCTGATATGGCTGGCCACACCATGTGGCCAGCTACCATACCAGAAAATAACGGGATTCATTTGCCAAAAATAACGGGATTCACTTGCCAAAGAAAAACACGTGCTGACTTAATAAAAAGCCCACAATTGCACAAATCCCTAAACAAAAGCCGCCATCAACATCTAAAAATTTACAGATCAAGTTGCACAAACACACAAATTTTGAAAATTTTCATCAACCATAAATTAATTTTTTTTCTTCCAGATCTTTATACTCGAAGCTTTCATGGCTGAAGGATCAGAAATTTTTCCACCTGAATAATCAGAAATTTTTCAACCTGTATCAGTCCAGATTCACAAGAATCTATGGAGATCGAACAAATAGGTGATTCATTAATGAATCTGGATATAGATAACAGAAACAACAATGAATTACAAGGCAACAATCATTTGTTTTTATAATTCTGTATATAAGTAACCTAGATTATATTAAACAAGTAACCTCTATTATACTATATAAGTAACCACCACTTTGAATTAAAATAACCCCTATTAAGCTATGCAGGTAATCGTTGTTACGTATAAAAGTAACCCCTATTTTACTATAAAATTAACCACTTTGTAACAAGTACCCCTAGTATGTTATACGGGTAACACCTATTATACTATGCAAGTAACCCCTATTGCATACAAGTAACATGCAATATACTATACAAATAACCCCTCGTATTAGTCATGTATATAAAAAGTAACCCCTATTACACTATGCAGGTAATCCTCTTACATATAAAAGTAACCCCTATAAAAGTACCCCCTATTGTATTATGTAGGTAACCAATATGGTACTATGCAGGTAACCCTTATTGTATAAAAGTCAATAACCAAACATATAATAACCCCTAGTATACTATATAGATAATCCTTCATATATATAAAAGTAACCCCTATTACTCTATGCAGGTAACACTATACAGATAAACCATTGGTAACATGTAACCCCTGTAAATACTATACAGGTTACTCCTCATATATATAAAAGTAACTCCTCATATACATTAAAGTAACCCCTATCATACTATGCAGATAACAGCTATTATTAAATACAGATAACACCTCATATTAATATAAAAGTAACCTCCATTATACCATACAAGTAACCCCCATTATACTATAAAAGTAACCCTTCTCAACAAGGAAGCCCTATTACACTAAGTAACCCTTATAAAACCAACTAAAAACCCCAGATTAAATTAATAAGTAATATGCATTATATTACACACTTTACTTCTATTATGCTAATTTAGTAAGTAACCCCCATAATGCTAAACATGTAACCCCCATTATATTAATTCGTAACACCTATAAAACTGCAGATTTAATTATATTACCCTAGACCCACATATTAAGCATACTCACTTTTTGATATTGTTTTTTCTTGTAGAATCAAGTAAAAGCACACTAACAGAAAGAAAGTAAATATGATAACCAACATGAACAGGACTACAGTGGATGCCTTGTTGGCTTATATTGCAGACACTTTGGATGAAATATATAAAAAACATGCTTTTGCTACTGGATTTGGATATGACAATCAACAACCAGATACACACAAGGAGAACCCAAAACGATCAAAGGAAAAAAAATACTTTGTTTTTTCAAAGGAAAAGACCAGAATGCCAGCATCTACATAGGTCAGAAAGAAAAATAACAAAAGAAAAGGCACAAGTTATAGACCTAATGGTAGAGAGTGGATTAAAGCCAGCAGAATCTTATCGTCTAATGTCTCATGAAGCTGGTGGTGAAAATGTGTTAGCACACACAATGAAAGATCACTTCAACTATATAACAAGGAAGGAAATGAAAGAAATTGAAGGAGGTGATGCACAGACAGTAATAGAAATGCTATACCAAAAACAAGCAAAAGAACCATATTTCTTTTTCAGATTCAAATTAGGCGGTGGAGATAATTCAAGCAAACTTACATCAATTTTTTGGAGGGACTCAGAAATGTGAGAAGACTATAGCATCTATGGGGATGTAACTATTTTTTATACCACTTATAGAACAAACAAATATAACTTGATTTGTGCTCCAATAGTTGGTATCAACAATCATTGGTTGAATGTGATGTTCGGCTGTGTGTTTATCGCTGATGAAACAGACGATACATTTGAGTGGTTGTTGGACACTTTTAAGAAATCTATGGGTGGGATGGTTCTATATTTACATACCAAGACTTGGCAATGTCAATAGCAACTCAAAGGGTAAATACTAATGTCTCTATTATATCATGTAAAATACTTATGTCCCTATTATATGAAAAAACCTAACAAGTTAATCTATGCAGGTATTCCCTCACTCAAGACACAGGATTTGCATTTGACACTTGATTGAGAATGCAGTGTCGAGGTTTAGAGCCCTAAAAAGGGACACAACTTTCAAAGATGAATTCGACAAGTGCCTATCTGGTTGTGTAACAAGAGAAGAGTTTGAAACTTTGCTCGGAAAATATGATTAAAACATACAAGCTTGAGAAAAATTGTTGCGGTATTCGACACTGCGCGGAAACAAAACCCGCAAAATGGATCGCATGCATAATAATTACAACATAACAAAATAGCATGCAAATAAGGAAAAACATAAACACATAAAGAGAAGAGAGAGAAAGAAGCTCACCCTTGACGCGTGCTTCGCTCGTAACTCGAGCTCGGACTTGGAAAACTTCAAGCCCCACAAATGCAAGACCTCTAACGTCTCACGCACTCGATCACCGAACCAGCCCATACCCCGTAGCTTAGACGGGGCTAGACCAAAATTACTAGAGTTTTACGAACTTAAGGCTTTCTCACTCTTTGGGAGATTCCTTTTGAATTCTACTCAAGTGAGTATTCCCAATACCCAAGTGGGTATTTACAAGGAAATGCTCCCAAGAGTTTCCATCAACTTTCCATGTGGGAGAGTTGGTGAAATGTGAAAATGAATGTATTAATTTAATTCTAAATTAAAATAAAATTACAATTCAATTAGCAAACAACAAGTGTCACAAAGAGAGCAAGGGAATAGATGAGGACCACAAGGGAAGGACCACCCTTCCCTTGCTTCCCAAGCCAAACTCCTCACTCAGACCGGCCCCAATAGGAAACGACCAGCTGGCCGCCTATCCTTGAGCTACAAGGTGTGCCACTCTAGCAGCCCTTGTGCTCAGATTGCCGAGCAAGCGAGGCCCAACCACTGTGCGCATGCCCTGCAAGCTTCGCATGCTTGTGGGCTACTGTGCGTGCTAGCGCTAGCAGCAGCTAGCGAGGCCTAGGGAGCTTGCTAGCTGTTGGCCTTGCTAGCGCTGCTAGCTAGCTCAACATGGCGCGACTTCTTAGCTAGCACGCACATGTTGCTGTTGGGCTTGCGGCCATTGCCTTGTGTGCTAGCAGCCCTTGCTAGCCACATTGCCCTAGCCCTCGCATGGCTAGAGCTATGCATTATAACTTGTTGTTTGACTAATTTTCTCGTCTCTTTGATTGCATAAATTAACTCGACGTTCGACGCTCGAAGCTCGGAATCCGACGTCTTAGTTCGTAAAATCTCTATCGACTCATTTAATCCTTTGGATTAATTTGTCTCCTTGGTTCGGTTACAGGATTGGGTGTGACCCAAAGGGTTCAGTTAAGAGCAAGCTGTAATATTAATTATACATTAATATTACTGATTGGAAGTGGCCTCCAGCTAGGCATTTCGATCACTTGACCTCACTAAATAATTAGCTTTTCTAATTAGTTCTGAACCCTCTATCGGAATAATACACTTGTTCGAAGGACACCATTCTTTTCAATCTCCCACTTGTCCTTTTGGACAAGTGTGCTGTTTGTGTATAGCCTATTTTCCTATGTCACTTAATGCCTCTTCATGAACTATAAGGTAAGATTATTCGTCGTCCTTATTACGTCCAGAAGTGTTTCTCGATTTCCGAGTTCGACTGTCAATAAGCAGATGATTTCTAAAATCCATCTGAGCACGTCCATGCATTTTGACAGTCTTACTCTTCGAGAGGCCTTGTAAACAAAAAACACATATTCCCTACTATTAACAAGGGGACATTCCCAGTCTTGTACGGCAGACGTTTGACAACATCAAAACGGACTAGTACTCAAACAAGAGAACTAACAATACTCATGGTCGAGGAAAGAGGTTCCGATAGCTATAATGAGTAATATACTTATGACGACTGTTAAATATCTTAAAGTACTCTCATAGGTCGATCCGATATAGTTCCAAACTAATACAAGTGCAAATGATTTATGGAAATCTTGTCCTTGTAGCACAAGAAACGGTGCTATAGATCATACTACACACTAATCTCGCGCGGTCATTAGTTTTCCAACTTTCAAATGACCTTGATTAGGGATAGTTTCGATATGATATTCAATGTTCACTTAATAGGTGTTTCTTTATCCAAAACATTGTCTTGATACACTATTTTGAATATCGTCAAATTGAATGGACTCATTATTTAATTCTAAACCACAATTAAATAGTTTATGGAATTATTAAAATTTTATTCCACTACGAAACTTTTCAACGTTTCATCTTATGATAAATGGTTTTCCCCAAATGTTTTAAGAGTAATATTATTTATAAAACATTTATAGAAATCACACCCATATCAAATATGCTTGATTTCTGTTATGCAATTGTGAATGTTGTGGTTCACTTATTCCATAGGTTTAGTTATCATTACTTTGCAAATCTTAGCATCTTCATTATCGAACACTTTCATAATAAGATGATAAAATTTGAGTGTGTTATGGATTACATGTGATCTAGGATTTATTGTCCAAGTGCTGGCTCCCACTCATTTTCATGTTTTGAGACCTTCAACTTGGCAACCTATAATCATCAAGGTTCAACAAGGAACTATCTATTGAACAACATCTCTTTTATTGCCTTTACGGCAACAATGTTCTCAACATATATATCAGTAGATTTTCTAATGATGCTTTGCTTGGATTTTACTCCAATCAGTTCACAATGATTTGGGATCATTTGTGATTATGGAATTTTACCTGAAATTTCCGCACAATACACATGGATATAAGTCCATGTTGCCATTTTCAAGCCACAACGTATCTAAGGTCCTGCTCGTTAGGATCTTATCCTTGTTAGTTTGTGTTTGTAACATCAATACTCAAATTATATTTGTTTCCGCGCATTAAGAACTCATTCTCTTACTTAACCAAGTACTTTGGATGTTCTTGATCATAATCTAACGATCCATTGCTTAGATTCAAGTCGATCGGTATTTTATACTTGTCATGCTCTAAGCATGCAGGTCATGTGACAATTTCATATCGTAGCATACATGATGGATTCAATTGCTGAAATATTCCCAATTTCATCCCATTCATGTGACTTTTTCTAAGTCTTGCTAAACTGTTTGTTATATGATACGGTTGGAATTCTCTACTAGAGTCTTTCTTGTTTGACTTAGTATTTGCCTAGCTCATACTTAGTTCAAACATTTTGTTAGTTTTATACATATGGGTCGAAAGCCTTTTCAGGTCCTTCATGTTTAACACGGTAAATTCCTTTACCCGTTCAAACGTTTCATTAAGTCTATTTAATAGATCTTAATTCCCACTACGTACTAAGTGCTGTCTTAGCTTAATTGGTCCATTATTGAAAAATTCTTTCAACTCTAAGTATTTAGCATTTGATAGTTATTTTACAACAGAGTTTGTAAACTTCTTATTAGACCTTACAAAATTGACTTTAGCTCCCACTAAACTTCTTTATTCAAAGAATTTCCATGTTTCTCAACAAGCCAAACCTTATATTATCTTTATGAGAAAACCTGTTCCAATTCCCACATGCTTCCCTCAATCCACCAATGGATTTCTTGAGCTTGCTTTCAAATCTAGCATTAGTTAGATTTACAAAACTCTTAGACTATATACATAGTCTTTTCCAAAATCCCATTTTTAGGAAGGCGGTTTCGATATCTATTTTGATATATTTCATATGCGCAATTTTGCTAGAATAATCACGAAAAGACTTAAGCATTCTGATTAGTGAATAGATTTTATTAAATCCCGTGAATTTAATTGTAACCTTTTCAACCAATCTAGCTATGTATTCAAATACATTTCCATATTTATTTTTGTGATTGATGGGTCTTTACCCTTCATTCAAATTAATCAAGTTTCAAACATGGAGTCTGTTTCGGATTTTTTAGTCTCTAACCATTTTCGCAATTCAAATTTGTCGTAGATATCTTACAAGACACTATTCCCTTGCTATTCAATAATAAATAGTACACTTGTAAGTCTTAGGTACATTTCTAACTTAATAGAAACTTTACAGGATTTAAGTTAAGCCTTTTGGTGAATTCTATACCTATACGGGGTAATTGCATCAAACACTGAGTCTCAAGGTGCTTCTAAAGCCCTTTGATTATATTGATCTTACTCCAACACTTCTAGAGTTTCTGTGAGTAATGAATTCTCTCTTAAGGCACTTGTAAAGTCCTTGAGTATTCTTGATCAATAATCAATCTCATGAAGCCCTTCTAAAGTCTTCCGAGATTCTCAGTTCTAGTTTGTTGCTCGTTTCGATGGTCATCGAGTTCATTTTCCTCCCACTTGTCGTTTTGGAAATGTGTTACTTTCCAGAAAGACACCTCTGAGAGCAACAAGTACTATGTTCTCAATTTGGTTGTGGAAGTAATTCCCCTAGTCTCACTTGAATGCTTACGAAGAGACTTGTATATATTGTCTTTAGGTAAAAGTTCATTGCGAAACAAACAGTTAGCTCCCATTGGAGCTACTTAGCTCCCACTGTGCCAATGAGCTCCTATTGAGGCTAAGAGCCCTAGACATATACTTGAAAAGACGCAAGAAACTATTTCTATCTATAACTGAATATGGTGTCTTTTCTTAGCTTCGACAATTTTGTTTAGTGTAACATTAGTCATTTGTGCATATCTCTAAGAACGTTATAGGAAGGGATGTGATCATCATCGTTCGAGTCATTTCCAAATGGCTTCGAGGTCTCCGTCAAGATATACTATATTCTTTGTGGAGTTGATTATGAAATTCCAATTTCATAACTTTAAGATGATCATTCTTGGCTCAAGCAAACATCACTCGATCTAATATAGACGTTTTGATATTTGCCAAGTCGATTCTATACTTCACTGAACTTTTGAGCTATTGAAGATCCAGGATAAGATGAGTTTGAATCTACGGTCAAGATTGTATTTTCAGTTTTTAACTTAAGGTTGGTTTTCACATGATCCAACTCCTATATATATATACTAGTTTTGTGCGCGAGTGATGCCCAGATTGTTGATTAAATTTTATGATAAACTTTTATTAAATACAATCTTATAATTCTTTTGTTAATGCATGATATTTAGACATACAATATCATACCACTTATTCATATAGTAGTGTACTTTTGTAGTTTTGTTTGTAAATAGATATCTATGTTACTATTGACTTGAAATTGTTTTTATTGAACTCAAATTATTTTTACTAAACTGCAGGTATTTTTACCAAACTAAATTTTTTTTTTACTATTTAAAACTTATTTTTACTACTTCTCTATTTTTTCTAAATAAATTAAATATATTATAATGAATCTTATTTTGAAGAACTTTTAAAACGAATTTTATGATGGAAATATAACCGAGTTCTAGGATATTTATTAAAATTATGATTAATTTTGTATAAATATTAGACGTATATTGTTAATAAAACTCTAAACAACATTTTTATTGTAAAAAATCTATCCAAAGTTCACTTACTTAGCATCCTATATGTCACAATAATACATATTTGTCGCCTACGTGGCGCGACACTTGGCAAAAAACTGAAATGCTAAATGTCGATGTATCGTAGTCTGGCTGCAAGACCAACTTTATTTATTAGTGATATAATATTAGGATTTTTTTTTAATAGATATTAAGACCATCAAGCATCAACTCAAGAAAACTTGTCCACTAGAATCTTCATCAATGGTTGGAGATTTTTTTCTTCTCTTTTTTTTTTTGACAAAGAGTTCATTAAACGAGAAGCAAATTACACCCTAACAAGACTAAAAGAAACAAAAAAACAACAATAAATTACACACCAAACCAAAATCACAAACCAGACGGGAAAAAAAGAAAGACATATGATGGACCAAAAATGGGCAACACACCAACAATCCCAGACATGTTTTGCCAATTAACCAGTAGAAAGAAGGCACTCGAAAACCAATTGGATCTTTACTTTGGACCCATACTTGCCATATTATTTGGAAACCTCGAGATGGACAGTGAGTCAGTGACTAAAACTTGATATTTGTGATGGGAACTGAGTCTCTTTTCACAAGGTCCTTGATTAACAGAAAGAGTCTCATTTCCTAATAAGCATATAAGAAGGAAAACAAAATCAACAAAGACATTAAATTCAGACAACCAACTTGTGTTTATGCTAGGAAAGCCAATAGCATCATAAATATATATCAAAAATTAATAAGCATGTAAAAAGAGGAAAACTGCGTCAACTATTGGCAAACATAACAAATTTAATTGTAAGATCGTTCATACTTCCATTAGATCAAGCTGACATATTTCCATAACAAAAAGTCTCACTAGATTAGATGTCTAAGGAAATAACTGCAAGATCGTTCATACATCCATTTCCAACTATTTGAGAACATCTTCAGCAACAATAGTAGCCAATCAGAAGAAAGAGGGACCAACTGGTCCTTTAGAAAGGCCTAGACGAACTTCCATGCCATGATGCATGTCTGGAACTCGGAGCGATTCTGAATCACGTGGATCTGCAACAGAACAAGAAATGAGACCAGCAAATAGCTCAAACTATCAATTACTCATACTAATATGCTATCGACTTGTAGTGAATGTACTGTGATCAAAGATCAAGCGGGTGGGTGCCATCAGTAACATATAAAACCGGGTAAGATTGTAGTTAAATATTGCAAATATCAGTTGCATCCAAAGTACAAAGAGGAAAATCAACGCAAATACGTAAACTATTAGTTCTGCTGCCTATATCTTGGTTTGGGCAAGTAAGAGAAGCATATATTTTGTAAAAAAAAAACAAAAAAAAATACGGTGTTTTTTTTACCATTCAGATAATCTTCGAAACCAATATCATCTAAAGTTCCTGTCACTGCCTCCAACCCTAGCATAGAGGATGATATCGGTCCAGGAGGCCTCTGGAACCTGCAAAACAATAAGGATAACATGATCAGCTGAACTCAGATCAGTTTCGTACCAGATCCCTTTTTTAGCACATGCAAGTCAAAGAATAGCAACTAAAACTCATATATTAGTGAAGCATTGTGCCTAAAGCATAGAAAACGAAGCAAAAGAAAAATGGTAAGTCAGATTGGAGTCACAATAATGCTTAGCACTACAATTGTTATATCTTTCACAAATTAAATTACGACACTTGTTAAAGATATATATTTGTCCAGAATTAAAGACCAGTAAAACACAGGAACAGCATGAACAACCTAGCATGGATATAGAGAGGTCGAAGAATATACACGACTTACCTAATCCATGATGGGTCTCTACCGACATGCAAGACAATAGTCCAAGATATAAATGCAATAGATACTGATAAACAACACATGAATATGCTTCCCCAACCCATGGGTATTAAAGCAGAAAATTTGGGATATGAAATTCAGAGTAAACTGTAAGTTAAAACAGTAAGCTACAGTGGTTCCTTTTCTCCATACATATAAAAATTATAATTCAAACTTTGGACCGTTCTAGCAATTAAACCACTTAGAGTGCAAGCAATCAAAGAAACCTCTCCTAATATTTATCCAATGTTTGGCTCAAATGACTGAAAAAACATTTAGAATCCAGCTTATACACTTAGGAAACTAAAAATTAAAAAAATGGGGCATCAGAAAGAAACTACTACTCCTAATATTCAACCAATGTTCGGCTCATGCCCCTTTTCCTCACAACAGTGGTTAGCAACTTTTCTTCAAAGGACGTGGTACTAATTAACATGAAAAGAAGGAGCAATAGTCCTAGATAAAGCAATAATTTCTCCAAACCTAGTTATGTATTGAGTACCCATTGTCAACTACTTAAGTATTAATCTCTGGCAAATATCCCATACTAGTAACATCTGTAGATTGATTTTACTAAAAATTTGTTTCAAACAAGGTTTATTTTATTGACTATTAGCAACTTGGCTCACAACACACTTGCGGAACTTTGAGTCCTCTTTCTCTCTCACAACACCTACCCAAAGATACATAGACTTCTAATCTAACCTTCCTGACACTGATAGCCAGCCCAAAAGGATCAGTGGTAATCCCAACAAGCATACTTCGTTAGCTGCGATCTCAACTATCCAATTTCCATTTTCCAACTCTCATATTTCCATTCAATAAGGCATAGTCACCTGATAGATCAACTGAAATGCAACAGTTCTAGGCTTTCAAGTTTTAACCTTAATTTACCAAATTCGAACCCACAAAATATATCACTTAACAATAATCTGCTTAATATTACCTCATATAGCTGTTGCAGATTCACTTGCCAGTCTAAACCCAACAACAGTAACCAAGATATCACATAATTTTCACAACATTTCTGATTATCCAATTCCTAACTTACGGAACTTATCGAAAACCCCGCTTCCATCACAAAAATCCACCCGAACTCCTCATCACATAAACCCATCACTTTATGAACAAATTTGAGTGCAGTAAACTACGAATAAACATCCTCTCCACCTCTATCAATAATTCAGTCCCTAAATAGACGCCCACAATCCTTAGTTAAGCAAAATGAACAAATTCAGCATCTTAACGCCCGAAATTGATATAAATTAGGGTTTTTCACAAATTCAATTTGCAACAATCACAAAACCAAAAATTGAATCGCATTAAACAACAATAACACCAATAAATAATCAATAGAAAACTAATCAGAAAAAAACCTAGAAAGAATTTGGCGATCGAGGTCCATCTTAAGAGGAAGAGCGGAACCATAAGTGTTAGCAAGAATCTTCCTCTTCATCTCTTGCTGAGTTTTCTCCGCCTAAATCAATGAAATAATCATCAGTATCAGAGGAGAGAGAAAGAGAAGGATAGATAAAAATGAAGAGAGAGAAAAAGTACTTTAAGAACAGCGGATTGTAGAGGATGAGCTTCGAGAATCTCGCTCTTGACGCCATGGATGCCGAATCGAAGAGCATCGTTGTGGATTCCTCCAATTTGGTGTGGAATGACCTTTGTTCCTTCCTCCATTGTTGGACTTCTTCAATTAGCTCGAGTTTTTTCTGTGTTGTTGTTGTTGTTCTTGTTCTGTGTTACTGAGATGCATAAATTGATTGCTTTGGTTATATGTTGCTTTTTAGTTTTGGGCCGCCTTGTTGTACAAGAAATTGACACCCCTTTTTGTACTCCCTCTTGTTCTTTTTTATAAGTCTAGTATCCGTTTGGTTTGATGTAATTTTTTTTTTATTTATTTTTTTTTATTTTTTTGAGAAAGGTTTGATGTAAAATTTTACAATGACAAACTAGTTTTCAAGAAAAATATATTTTCAAATAAAATCACAATTGAAAATTAGTTTTCATCCTCCAAGAAAAGTTATAGAAAAATTATTAAAATAAAAGTGAAAATATGAGGATGGATGAGGGGAAGATAAAAGGGAGGTACAGAGAAGGGAGGAATGTGACTTCCTTTATTTTGTAGAAAATTATCTACCAAAAAGCATGTAATTTTTCACTATTGGAAAAATTATTTTTTATCCCTTCACATACCAAATGAAGGAAATGAGAGAAAGAGGGGGGGGGGGATGATTGTCCATGAAAATATTATACATTGAACAAAACGGACCTTAGAGTTGTCAAATACTAATCCAACTTGTATAATTGATCGAAATCAACCAAATCCAACCCAAATATATATGAAGAATTTGGATCCTGAAATTGACAAGAACCAATTCGATGTGAACCTGACAATCAATTTAACCAATTAACTGAGCATATACCCGATCCTCAAGGTCCAGATTCGATTTGGATATGATATGCAGGGACCAAATCGAACTGAACTGATATAAACTTGCATTTGATCAATAAAAATTCAAAACCTGATTGACTAAAGAGAAACTACAATCGACACTATTAACATAAAATGGGATCCGATTATAACTCGAGTTTATATTCAACCCTATACAATAAGATTGAATATCTGATTCAATCAGCAACATTCTATACTCGAACTAAGTCTCGAATTGTTGGTAATCTGACTCGATTCTATCAGTTATCAAAAATTAACCATAATTAATCCAAACTCGTAAATTAAACTACCTCGTTATTAATCAAGCCTAAGTAAACATAATTGAAATCGTTTGGGAAACCAATCTTATGTAGATAATTCATTTCACAATTATGCAAAACAATCATGTTAATCCCGAACTTGTCATGAACCCGAGATTTATTGAATCCACACTTAACCAAAATTGAAGGCTTATACAATCTGAGCTTGAACAATACTCGAGAATCCTCCGTTCGAAACTCAACCTGATCCAAGACATATACGATCTAAACTTGGTACAAATATGTAATAATCTAGTTATGGTATAAGATATTTGATTTTTAACACCACAAAATAACATGAAAATGGTTTTTAACACTATAAAAAAAATTATTTTAACACCACAAGAAATCTAAGAAATTTGATTTTACCACCACTTAACTGATTCCGTCCAAAAATCCATTAAGTGGGGTCCACGCTACCACGTGTTCCCAAGTAATTGGTTTGAAAAAAAAAGAAAATTTAAAATTAAAATCCTAAAACTAACCAAACCACCACACCATCACCACCGGCAACCTTTCCCCATCCAACATGAGCAGCCGCCGCCCGCTTCCCCCATCGGCGCATTGCCTCCCCAACCCCAACCGCTGGAACCCATTGATGAAGGATATTTTAGGTTGTTGAATTCTAAAACACCTTCAATCAAACAAAAATTTCTAAAACCTAAACCTACACTAAACACGAGTCTAGTGGCAAAGTCAAGGGTCGATCCATGGAGAACGGCTAATCACCACCAACATTACCAACAACTAAGCTAGGCCGACTAGGGGCAAGAAATAACAACTAACACTACAAGGCTATACTAGACTAAGACAAATACTAAGGAGATGGATAGGTATAAGCTTCACTCAAACATGCATAAGTATAGAATCGAGATGATCACAAACTAAGTATACTTGAATGTCGAATTAAGGTCCAATCCAACCACCTATCGGGGTCAAAAGGTTTCTCCTAACATAGCCTCTATGCTATCGCACTAGAACCATATATTAGAAGGTACAATCAAGCACAATAGACAACAATGAATCTAGCTAGGTTCGCTATCGCATCCGATCAATTCACCTTCAATTCACCAATAACATGCATTTTGCAAGCAAATTGAAGAATATCAAGCATACAAAGACTTTAATCATGATCAAACCAAATCCTATAGCTAAAACATGCTCAAGCTTCAATTATGCCATCCCCAAAACCTTAGCAAAAGAGATTACTCCATAATCATGGCAATCAACAAGCTAATCAACAAATCAACAAGTAAAAGCATGATTAACAAGCAATCAACAAAGCAAAATCAAAATAAAGCAATAAAGATAGAGAAGAGATGGTAAGAATTTCTCATTGATTGATGTTTGAAGCCTCTAATACAATTGTCACTCTTGCATCATCATCATCTTCAATCCCTCATTGAATAATTCTCACTTTCTCTCTCTAAAATCTTAACTATGGAGGCTAATCCTCCCTAAACCCTAAAACTTAGAGAGAAAGAGAGAGGGAGCTAAAACTAATTAAGAGAGTTAATAATAATTGATGGTCCTAATTACCCCAAAAATGGGTATCTATACAAAGCTAAGAAAATAGAAATAAAAATAAAATAAAGAAAGGTAAAAAGAAAATAAGGAAAGAAAGAAATAAGAAAAGGAAAATAATAATAGAAGAGAAAAGAAAAGAAAAGAATAAAGAAAGAAATTAGAAAAGAAAATTAAAAGAAAAAGGAAATAAAAGAAAAAAGACAAAACCCACAATCCCTAACCAAGTCAGACGCTCTTCTTCTTCTTCTTCTTCTTCTATTTTTGCTGCTCTGTTCTTCATCATCACCGCACATAAACAACGTAAAATTATCACCACTGTTCGATCATCACCAAAAATTAGCATCATCAAATCATCTGTAAACCTTTCAATCTTCATTAAAAATCACGTCTCGGCCATCACCTATACACAATACCGAGGAAAAATAGAGAGAAATAAATTAAATAATATTATGAAAATAAATGAAGTAAAATATTAATAGGAGAACTAAAACTAAAACTAAAAAGTAAATAAAACTATACAAGAAGAAAACCAATTAGAAAATAAACTAAGAACTAATAAAATCTACAAATTAAACAAAAACATGTTAAAATTACCAAATAATTAAATTAGTAACTTTGTTAATGAGAAAATAAGAGAATAAAAGGGAAAAATAAGAGAAAACAAGCACGAAAAATGACTCTAAAACTACTCCCTAAGAGTTACATAAATGTCACTCATAAAAGTTCCCCAAGTTAAGTTTTTGCTCCTCCTTGAGCAAAACAACAAAACATAAGGGAAGATGACGCAATTATTCAAGCAAAGAAAAAAAAAAGAGAGAAAGAATGTACACTAACTCACTGTCGTAGGAATCACGGTTGTTTTTAGCTACAACAAGCCCTCAAAACCCCACAATCACCTATGAGGACGAGTGTGGTCTCGTAAGGGTTTCCTAAGAGTTTAACCCATAACTCTCAACTAAAAGCAAGGCAACGCAAATAAAAACAAAGAAAGAGAAAAGAAATACATATGATCTTAAATGGACAAAGAGATAGGAACAAGCACCATTGAATGTGAAACTTTCTAAATAGACAAATGTATGCACATTCCAAGATGTCAATGGTTGATTGAAACATAGAATATGCTAAGCATAGATATCTAAAGGAGACTCAATCCACCCTCGTTCCAACCATACTTCCGCGTTCTCTCCACTTGTTTCGGAGTTTTTTGATGTGTCCTGCGGGAGAGTTACAATTCCTAGTATGTGCCACTGACGCCTGTACCTGTAAAACCACGAAGACTCCGATTGGTGGGAGCTCCGCCTCCGACGATCAAGTCAGTTACGTACAGGAGGAAAAATAGTGCGGAAATGGTAATTACTCCTTGCTAATACAGGAGGATTCTGCAATTAATATTGCTCGGGATTGGTGTTTATATTCTTTGCTGTTTTTGAATGCCCAATAAATGAGGTCTGACCCACTATTTATAGTGGGGAGACCGGTACCCCATCTAGGGTTCAAAGGACACGTGTCAACAGGGGATTGGTGCCCTGTTGACCTATGGCTGGCTGCCACGTGTCGCAAGGCCATTGGACCACGTGTCTAAGGTAATTTTTACCCTAAACATTTGCCCCTCTCAGGTGCTGACGTGGCGGTGCCACGTGGCGCCTAAGCCGTTTTTTATTTTTATTTTTTGAATTCGAATTTGAATTTAAATTTCGGAAGTGCATAGGGCAGAAGGTGAAAAGGCGCGAGGGTTCACCTTCTGAGGATTGCCTATAAATAGCAAAACTCCCCTCTCATATTCACATTTACAACCTTGAACAATTTTCAAAGATTTTGAGAGCAGGCAGTATTGAGAGCGAACTTCTCCTGAATTCTTCCGAGTGCACATCCGGCATTTTCCGTCTCTTTCAGAGAATCTTCTTCCGTCTGTGTGTGTTGTGAACAGCATCGCAAATTTGCAGCTGCTAATTAGGGGATTTTTCCCTAACCAATTATCGTCTGACAAATGGACGAATCAGGCCCTGCCATGTGTCCACCGCATGGGCCACTAGGAGCCTGCCACGTGTCAAAGGTTGATCGGTCCACCATGGACCACTTGCGTCACGAAACATGTCCTTCTCTATGCCAACCTGGCAAAACGGCCACCTAGGCCTAATCCTTGGAAAAAGCCCAGTCAGCCCTAGGTTAACCTAAACCTAGCATTTGGCATGCATCCCAAGGCATATGAGTATGATCATTAATCCTCATTTAAGGGGATTACGCCAATTAATTACTCTGACCTAGAGAAAACACTTTACCTTTTTCTGCATTAATTACTCCTAAAACAAGTATTAACTTGACCGTTGGAGGCGGAGCTCCTACCACCCGGAGTCTCTGTTGTTTTGCAGGTACAGGCGTCCGGTTCCAGTCTCGGAGTTGTAACTCTCCCGCAGGACATCAGAAAACCCCGAAACATTTTGGTGCCGTCTGTGGGGAGAGTACTTTTGAGATGACATCTAAGTCTATACCAAATCCAGAAGAGAGGCATCCATAGGACGACCCTCAAGTCTAT